GCAGGTGCAGTGCTTCGGGGCAAGAGGCCCAGACTCCCTCGAGTAAGAAGAGATCACGACGGGAGGTTTTCCTTCATGTTCGGCCTCCGGGGGCCCTCACTGGGCCTCGGGAGCGTCAAAACACGACTCGGGATGCAAAGCCGGTCATGGGGAAAGGGTCGGGACCTCTGGGGGTCGACGTAATGAAAAAAACATTACGTCGGGGGTCTGGGGAACCAGCAGCGGACGCATGGATGTCAGCTGCTGGTGTAGCGCTTGCGGTGGGCAACAGAAGAGGTGCAGGGGTTCGGGGCCTCGCTGGGCAGAGCGATGAGCAAGTGCGTGGCCTGCTCGACTCTCCCCTCCCCCATCTCCCCATCCTTCCCCCTGTTTCTTTCGGCGGGGGATGAACTCGTTCCTTCTCCTGCTTCTCCTCCTCCTCCTCCTCCTTCTCCTCCTCCTCCCCGTCGTCCCCCCGTTCCTCCTCGTCTCATTTCGGAGGAGAACGGGAGGAGGAGGAGGAACAGGAGGAGGAGAAGGAGGAGGAGGAATAGGAGGAGGAGGAGGAGGAGGAGGAGGAGGAGAAGGAGGAACAGGAGGAGGAGAAGAAGGAACAGGAGGAGGACGAAGGCAAGACGAGAACGAACATTTTTGTTGTCCATCTACATCTTCGTCGTCGGCGCCCGCGGCGCGGGCCACCGATCAGTTTTGCACCACTGTTCGCCGTGCTGGGTACTGTCGGGGGGCTTTTTTCCCCCAGCGAACACTGCTCCGGGGGCCACGCTACACTGCAGAGGAGTTTGGAGCACGTCTGTGCGAGGATTGCCTTGTAGATCGGCGCTCTCGTCGTCGCAGGCGTTATCCAGAATCTCCTCCTTCGTCTCGTCGTAATGGCAGCACGATTGCAACATATGCCAACGCACGTACAGTCTGCACTGCGTCGTCGTCGATGGCGCCTGCGTCGGCCGGGCCACCGATTCATCTCCCGCATTGTTCGCTATAGATCGACACACTCGTTACCGCAGGCGTTGCTCACAGTGTTCTCCTGCATCTCGTCCCAGTTGCAGTACGATTGCAATATGTGCCGGCACATGTACAATCTACATCAACGTGTTCGTCGTCGGCGCCCGCATCGCGGGCCACCGAGCTATTTTCCCACAGTTGTCCGCCGTGATAGAGAATGCTGGGTTTCTCCCAGCGAGTACGCTCCCTGGGCGACCCTGCACGACAGGAATTCTGAGCACGTTTGCAACGATATTGTTTTATATATATATATATACACACACATATCTATATATATATACACATATCGACACATTCGTCGCCGAACGCGTTGCGAACAACCTTCTCCTTCACCTTCTCGTGTTTGCAAGACGCTTGCAGTCGTAATCGGAGTCTTAGTTGGGGTCGGGGTCGTTGTCGTACTCGCAGTCGGAGTCGCAACCGTAGTCGTAACCGTAGTCGTCGTCGTCGTCGTCGTCGTCGTCGTCGTCGTCGTCGTCGTCGTCGTCGTCGTCGTCGTCGTCGTCGTCGTCGTCGTCGTCGTCGTCGTCGTCGTCGTCGTCGTGCGGCGGGTGCCGCGGAGAATTGTTTATTTTCCGGCATTGGTGGGGCCTCAGTCCGTCAATGGGGTCGACGAAAAGAGATTCAGTCTCCAACGATTGTTCCGGGTTCTTAGAAAGGCTGATCGGGTTCTTACTGACTCTCTCTCTCCTTCCATCATCCTCCCCTCCTGCCCCCTCCACCTCCCCCCCTCCCTCCTCCCCCCTCCCCTCCTCCCCCCCCCTCGTCCCTCCGAGGCTGGCGCTGCCCGACGTCCCGAGCGGCCTCGGCGCCAAGAGCGACGGCACCTCTCTGTGCCCGGGGCCCGGGCGAGGCGAGGCCGGAGAGGAGGAGCCGCCGGCGGCTCGGCCTGCGGCCTCGGGCCCCTGGCCCGGCCTATGGCCCAGGCACGACCCAGACATCCTGTGAAGAAATCACGGCGGGAGGTTTTTGGTTGTTTTCGGCCTTCCGGGGGCCCTCACCGGGCCTCGGGGCCGGCAAAGACGGCTCAGGATGAAAAGCCGGTCCTGGGGAATGCATGGGTCCAGACTTTCGGGGGTCGACGTTGCGGAAAACATTCACGACGTCGGGGGTCTGGGGACAAGGAATCTCGGGGGGCGGCACAGAGGGGGGTGATGATTAGGGGGGGGGATCTCATGGCGGGGGCCATGTAATCTCCCCAGATTTCATGGCGCCTCTTCTCGGCGACGAGCGAGGATGGGAAGGGAGAAGGATGGAGAAGGCCCTCTCAGAAGGGTCGGAAGTCCCCCAGCCTTCTGAGAATTGCTTCAAGCCTTTAATCGAAGACACACAAAACCCCTCACAAGGAACGAGGGCTTCTGAGAAGTCCCGCCGACTTCTGAGAGGGCCTTCTCCTGCTCGCTTCCCCCCTTCGCTCGCCGCCGATCTTCTCATTTCAATACGTTCCCCGGCCCCCCCTGGGCCGCGCACGTGCCGCTGGCCATGATTTGCGCCCCCCCCCCCCCCCCTCTTGGACGCCCCCCTCCTGGTCGCCCCCGAGAACGACAACCACAACTAAGTGGATGTTTCGGGAGGGCCCTTCGGGGAGAACCCACCGACATCGACATGAGCACTCTGGCTGCGGTGGTGGTCGATCTGGCCGTCCTGAGACACCACGCTGACCACATCCAGTACGAAGGTGGCTTCGGTGTTCCGACAAGTCTGTGGCATGCGCAAGACATCCCCTAGGGTGTGTCCTCGATTTGGTTGTGGTCGCTTGCTGGCCCAAAGCATGGTCCTGGGCCCCTTTTTTCCTCCTTTGAGTTCCACCTGCACCGGCAGCGTCTCCGCCCAGCCGCCGCCGGCACAAGGGGATTCTCGAGTCGCCAGCCGAGCCGAGCCGAGGCCAGGAGGAGAGAGCCGTCGTCGTCCATCACCCCCCTTTCCGACCAGGCGAGCGCATACTGCCTCAAATCCTTTGACTAATCGACCCCCCCTAAAAAGCCCGACCCCCCTTCCAAATGCGACCTCATATTCCGAACCCCCCTCTTCGACGGGGCGCCTCAGTAAACCGGACCTCCTACGCTCCAATCCAAAGAAAGCGCCCTAATAAATCGGACCCCCCCAGTTACAAAAAAGGCGCCGTCAACAAGCGGGAAAATTAATAAGGGATTTGGAGTACAGGCGTTGTCCAATTCCTCGGGTTTCTTGGATCCGCGCTGGGCTCCTCTGGCGTCGCCTCCGGCGCCGCTCCTGGCGCGCTCCGCGCGCTAGGCAGGGGGTCCAGCGCAGATGCAAGAAATCTGTGCAAACCGTCGACAGTTTATGTTCATGCAGTTGCTTCTTCTTCTGATTCCACCTTTCGAATTGTGGCACGGCGCCAGCACCGCTTGCTCGCCGCTGCAGCAGCGCAGGCACCGCGGGCACTTGTCTTCATCAGCCCCGGCACCGCGATATGGCGCCGCGCAGCCACACCGCAGGCGCGTCAAGTGATAGGGCGCAGGCGTCGCCCGTGCATCTTGACGCGATCGCATGCACCGCAGGCATTATTCCTCATGCATGCAACCCCCTTCGGGGTCCCAAACCTCCCTCGCGTTCTGAAACAATCACGACGGGAGGGCTTTTTCGCGATTGGCAGCCCATGGCCCTCTCGCAGGGCCTCGGGACCGTCAGAGAACAATTCGGGAGGAGACGCCAGGGAAGGGCTCCGTACCTCTGGGGGTCGACGTCGGGAACAAAAATCACGACGTCGGGGGCCCGGGGAGCAGGGGAGGGGCGGCGAGCCGTGGACGGCGGGGAGGGTTGGACGCGCCGCGCAGTTCGAGCACGGCGGCGCAGGCACTGCCCCAAACTGGACTGCAGCCCGCCGTCGCGGGAGGGGTCGCCCGTGCGCGGGCAGCACGGGGGGCGGGAGGCGCGGGCTGCGCCTGGGGGGGAGAGCGTGCCGCCCAGTACCCCGCTGAAGCGATGTCGCGTGTCATTGGTGAAGTGATGCCGACATGTGATATGAGCCAATGGCGTGGTGAGATAATTACATCGGGTCGTTGCGCTATATGCCTTGTTTTAGCCTGGTACGCAAGCATGGGGGGTAACGTTTGTTCATGCACCCGGCTGGGCACGTGTCACTGCAGTGTGAAGTCCGTGGCCGTTGGTATATAGCCAGGTCATGGTTTAGCATGTGATGCAGTCTGGCATGACATGATACCACAGACTTGCCTGACCTACGTTTGGGTAACATGCGTAGGCACAGCATATGTATGTAAGTCATTCGGCACACGATATCGGACTCGAACAGGTGTTCATCCAGCGCGTAACCGTGCAACATGTCACACTACGAGCTGTTTGCGCAAAACATGTTAACCGTATTAATAGATTTAGAAGGCTCCAGTACATGCATTAGCGGGTCCATTGCTTTATTCCTTAGCTTCTTTGTTTGCCGTCTCGCTGTTCTTGTTGCGCTTACCTATGTCTCACACGCAACTCACCCACTGAGAGAAACTGCGGCTCGCCACGCTGAGTCGAAACGGGTTGACACCCTCGCGTCCGCTGCGTCGCACAGCAGGTGGTATTTGCTGCGCCCGCTGCAAGTACGCAGAGATTCCCCAGCGATTCCACGGTTCCAGAGTCGAGAGCTTACTCCGCCTCAGCCTTCTTGTAGCCCTCTTCGCCGCCTACCTGGGACCGCCCAGGGATGAATCAAAAGGTAATGCCCTGGCCCTCCCAAAGCGCCACGCGGAAGCGCTGTCGCGACGCCTTGTAGGCAGACAGACAGATAAACAGACCGACCGACCGACCCACATGGACGTAGACAGAGGCAGAGAGAGTGGGAGACACAGACGGAGAGACAGAGAGATTGAGGGAGGGCGAGGAAGGGAGAGAAGAGAGAGAGAGAGAGAGGACGAGGAAACGGAGACGTGATGAGAAGGATTAGCCTCTTCGTCCTCGCCCCAACCTTTCGAGCGAAGTGGAGGACAGGGGCGAGCTCTGGGGGCGCGACGGCGAGGTACTGCGTTGCCCTGATGGTGCCCGGCTCGTACGAGGAGGGGATGGTGTTGTGGCAGCACAAGAACAAGGCCACCCCTTGAGAGGAGGAAGAGCGCAGACCTCCTTGGGCGTCGCGACCACACAGCCACACAATCGACACGCGGTTCGGGCTCCTGCGCCAGAGGTCCAGAAGACCACTGGCGCTCCCGAAATGGGAACGGTTACAATAGGGACGGCTTGTTGGTTGTTCTACGCGCCAACACTCTGCTCCTGGGCAGGCTTTGCTGCCAGGCGAAGGGGAAAGAGGAGGGGAGAAGCAGACAGATGACGACGAAGCGCATGCGGGAGGCCGAGGCCAGCGGGGAGGGCTGGCGGGCGGAGGGGGGGGCGGACGGATGGCAGAAGAGTCGGCAGTTCGGGATTGTTGCTTGGCTGACCGCGGCGGCGGCCCTGGCCACACGCTGGGCCGTGCAAGCGGACGGAGTGTCGCTCCGCTCCGCGGGGCGGGGCAGGAGGTTCGGAAAGGCTCGGCGGGACGGTGAACAAACAGTGACGCCCGGGGACCGGGAAGTGGTTATCGAGTCGCGCCGAAGCGTGATGGGCCAGAATCGGCGGCGCGGCACGCGAAGCCGACGCTCCTGTCCGCGCACCGCCACCATGCATCCAGAGGCCCGCCACCATGCAGTCCGATCGATCTGTGGGGACTTCGATCCACCGGGGCGTGGGCACCCTGAGATCTGGGCGTTGCCGTCTGCTCACACACCGGGGCGTTTTCGCCCCGTCTCGGGTCCCAGGGACCATCGCAGATCGGGAAACGGCGCAGGAAGGTGTGGCCCAGGGCTCTGGCCGGGTTCTTTGTCTAGGGGAACAAAAAGTTGCATAAACATAAAAACTCGGAGGTCCGCGCAGATTTCTCGGATCGGCGCTGGGGCCCCCCGGCGGCGCCTCCGGCGCCGCCCCTGGCGCGCTCCGCGCGCCAGGGAGGGGGGTCCAGCGCCGATTCGAGAAATGCGCGCGGACTTCCGAGGTTGTATATTTATGCCACTTGTTGTTCCCCTATTGTCAGCGATGCTGCAGCTGTCTCGGAGCGTCGGGTCCCAGGGTCGGCACGCCCGAGGAAAAGGGCAGCAGAGGGTCGAAGTTCTCTCCATGCTCCGTCCTTCCTCCAGCAGGCGGAAGGCTCCGAGCCCTGGATGGCAAAAACATCGGATTATACCAGGCCCCTGGACCGCCCCCAGGGCCCCGTAGACGGGAACTTGGACACACCAGGTCGTTGGCCCGCCCGAGAAGGTCTCAGTTTGGAGCCGGCTGGGTGGCCGAGGTGGCCCAGCATCTGCTCTGTCGAGCAGGAAGGGACGACGACGAGGAGGAGACGAGGACGAGGACGAGGACGAGGACGAGGACGAGGAGGAGGAGGAGGAGGAGGAGGAGGAGGAGGAGGAGGAGGAGAAGGAGGAGGAGGATGAGGAGGACGAGGAGGACAAGGAGGAGGAGGAGGAGGAGGAGGAGGAGGAGGAGGACAAGGAGGAGGAGGAGGAGGAGGAGGAGGAGGAGGAGGAGGAGGAGGACCCCCCCTCGTCGCCACGGCTGCCGCAATTTGGGCCTCGCCCTCCCAGGATCGAAGGACTTGATACCTCTCCCTCGCCGGAGGGTGGCAGCATGCGCGGAAATACAGCGAGGCCGCCCCCGCCTGCCCTGGGTGCACTTCGCCGAGGAGGACACGCTCTGGTCGGTGGCTGACCAGAGCGGCACCATGGGCGCTTGGTGGTTCTTCGACGGAGGCTGGCCGCGCTGCAGCAGCAGCGCCCGCCTGCACCTTGGAGCCGAGGACCCGAACAGCTGGCGGCACTGGCCAGCGGGCCCAGGCCCCCTCGCGCTGTGAAGACACCGCGACGGCAGGTTGTTCGCCACTCTCGGCCTCTAGAGGCCCTCGCCAGGCCTTGGGACCGCCAAGAAACGACTCGGGATGACAAATCTGTCCCGGGGACTGACTTCTATAATTAGGTCTCCCAGATGGGGTCGGACTAGATGGGGTCGGGGGATCGCGCCGCATCGGCGATGCATCGCCGATGCGGCTCGATGTGGAGCCCGATTTGCTTCGCGTCGACGTCGCCGATGCATCGCCCACGTGGGCGAGTCAGCTCCGGCGCATCGCCGATGCATCGCAGATGCATCGGCGATGCGGCGCGATCCTCCGACCCCATCTACTCCGACCCCACCCAGGAGGCCTCTGTGAGCCGAGAACTCTGGGGGCCGACGGTAGGACAAAAGTCATGGCGTCGGGGGCCTGGGGGGGGCAGCGGAAGGCGGCGGAAGTAAACCGAGGCCGCCCCCGCCAGCGGAAACCTGGCGGACGGCCAGCGCAGGCCGGCAAGAGGCGGCCTCCCAAGGGATGGCATCGAGCAGCGGCGAGGCGTCTCGGCGTGCCTACGGTAAGGAGGGGGGGAAAGCACACAGACACAACGAATCGTCGACTCCCAGAAAACATGGGCAATGTGGGGGGTGGTGGCGGCGGGGCGGGGGGCGAAAACTGAGAAACATATTTGAAGACATGGGGCATCCTAGGAATCATGTGGTTTTACGTGCGCCCTTGTGCCTCTTCATAAAGGTCCTCCGAAGACTGTTCTGAGAACCTTGCGCGGTTTGCGCAAGATGTTTTTCTCGAGCGTGTCTGGCTGAGACTGTCTCGGGCGAACGCATCGGGTCTGCTGCCTAAGAGCGCTGTTTTGTTATTGCAGCTTTTTGGGATTCCAAGTCGCGGTAGGTCTATAGGAACGCCGGAACGGTCGGCCCCCGCTAGGCAGCGGGAACACGCGGAAGCAGGCGGAAGGCCGGCGCAAGCCGGCGGCAGCAGGAAGCGGCCCCCCAAGGGATGGCAAGGCGTTTCGGCCCAGGCCTCCCGGGCATCCGACGTTGTGAAAACATGGCAACGCCTGCAAAATTCACCACCGGGGCCCCCATGTGGCGAGAGAAACTGGCCACGCGCGGATTTCAGGGGAGACTGCCTCCCTCTCGACTAGACGTCAGAGTAACCTCTCGCCAGAGGGACCTCTGATGCGGACATGCATGGGGCCCCCCGATCGCCGAACGCGAAGCGATAGCAGCGGCTTGCGCGCCCAGGTTTGGCCACCCCCAGGGCCTCCGAGGAGGCGCGCACCAGAGGTCACTCCTGCCCAGGGCTCGCTCTTGCGTGTCGCCGACCCCGCTGACCCCGTCTCTGCGCCCCCCGAGACCCGACGCTGCCCCAAACATGCGGCAGCGCGACAAACATCACCGCCGGAGCCTCGGGGGTGGACAGACCTCCCACCCGGACACGTCGATTCGCGAATTGGCCGTTTTCGGTTCGCGAGAGGGCGTCGCGGCCGTCAGCTTCGCGGGTTCAGGTCCGTCGGCTTCGGTCCCAGGCCGTTTTCACTAAGGGGGGGTTTACTAAAGGGAGGTTCGTCCACCGCCGAGAGCCCCCGACCCCGGCTTCCTGCACCATCTCTCCAGCCAGATCGCTCTGTGCAAGTCCCGGGGCCCGAGGTGGAGCGAAAGCGCCCGGCGTGGAAAAAAAATTGCGAAACGCCAAGGTTTTCTCGGGGGGTCGTGCCTGTTGCCGGCCCTCCGATTCCGACCCCTCTCGCGGGCGGGGCTCTACAGGACGAGGATAACGATCCGCTCCCGAGCTTGCGACACGCTCTTGGAAGGCCGCGGTGCACGATCAGTGCATCCGCCGGATCTCAGAGAATCTCGATTTATTTTGTCTGTACGTACGCACCCGGCTTTGTCCTCGTCATGGTTTCGATCTTCGTCCGGGCCTCGTTTTCGTCTCATCGCGGGGCCCGGCGAAGCCCGCCGCCCTAAGTTTTGCTGGAGCGTGGGATCTCTGGGCTGGCCGACCCTAGCCGTCACCCATGCCTTTCTTCGCGCGGCTCGCCCTGCGTTGTCCACCCACCTGCAACGCCGGGTGCGCCATGTAAAATTAACATCGGGTCGACTGCGCGTCCCAGCTTCGTCTTACGCTTCGCGTCGGCTGCCCCTCGCGAGGTCAGCCTCTTCGCGTGCAACGCTGGCGAGATCTTCAGCAACGAGAGCGTGGAGGCGGCCTCTTCCGGATGGCGCCTTCGGCCGTGGCTCTTGTCGCGGGGGCCCGCGCGCAGCCTCCGCGCGGCGCCGGCGGCGCGGATCTCCAAGAGGGTGGAACACCCTCGTCAGCGGATCTCCGCCACCTCCTCCTCCTCCTCCTTCTCGTCCTCCTCCTCCGCCTCCTATTCCTCCTCCTCTTCTCCCTCCTCCTCCTCCTTTTCCTCCTCCTCCTCCTCCTCTTTCTGCTCTCCTCTTGGTTGCACTGCATTGGGGCATTCGCTGCTGACGTGGGAGGGGCCGACGACGCCGACGCCGACGCCGACGCCGACGACGAAGTAGACAACGACGTATACAACGACGACAACGATCCTCGACGACGACCACCGCGTCAGGTCCCTGGAGGTTGCCGGGCCCATATTTCGTGGGGATTTGGACGGCGTGGGCTGGTCTCCAACGGCCCCGGGGCCCGAAAAGCATGTTGTTTCCCCGAGGTCGTTTTTTTTCCAACGGTGGGAACCTGAGGGCCAGGGCCCTGAGTTGATAGGGGAGGGGTCCCAAGCTGAACCTTCAGTGTTCGAGGCCGCTCGCTCTTAGGATTACGCTGTTCCCAGCGTGCTCAAGGACCACATCCCAAAGATAATTTCCAACACCCAGGACAGTATCGAAACATTGTCTGCCCGACGCGTTGGCGAAGTGGCGAACGAGCATCGCCTCCCAGGACCCGGCACGTGCAACCACTCCAGTTTCGGCACTTTTTGGGGGCTTGATTTTTTCTGGTGGTCAACGCTAGAAAGTAGGCTAGAGCATTTAAGAACTTAAAATCTGAGGGCGCAATCACATCACATACGCATCACCTTCCAAACCTTTGAGAGTCTACGTTCAGGCAACTATCTGTTCCCAAACCCCAGACGTCATAATTTGTTTCATTCGGTCGCCCCCCCAGAATTCTCGACCCACTCCCCGGGACCAGCTTCTCATCCTGGGTCGTTTTTGACGGTCCCGAGAGCAGGGGAGGGCCCCTGGAGGCCGACACTAACGATAAACTTCCCGTCGTGATTTTTGCATGACCCGAGGGGATCTTTGGGAGGAGTGGAAGAGAAGAAGGAGGAGGAGGCGGAGGAGGAGGATGAGGAGGAGGAGGAGGAGGAGGAGGATAAGGAGGCGGAGGAGGGATGGCATGGAGTGGAGCCTGCCGCCGCAGCGGCGCCGCAAGAGCGACACAACCCCAGCAAAGCGGGGGCGGCGACGACAAGCCCGAGGGGCCCACCGGACAGTTGCACCCCAGCAGCGGTTGTCCCAGGAGGGGAGAGCCGTGGCCAAAGCCTCACCACCCCTGCAGGGCCGCACCAAGGACCCCGCGGCCCGAGACGAAACAGCCCCCAGGCCACCCCCAGAAAGCCGCCGGCGTTCCAGGCCGAGCCCAGCAACCACTCATAGCTACCGCCCACTTGGCCGTGGAACCTCTGGCGCCGCCGCTGACGGCTCGCCCACCTGGCCCATCGAGAGCCGGGGCCAAAGCTGGAGCGTAGCCATCGGCGGCCATCCGCAACCTCCGCGGCCGAGGGCACGGGGGGCAGGCTCCTCACCGTCGGCTTGCCATCCAGGCCGCCGTAGGTCACGGTCGGCCGTGCGCGAAGCGGCGTCGACGCTACCGACCTTCACGACGTACATGGTTGTCGCGATCCCGTCGCACCCCTTCCTCGGCCACGAGTGCACCACCACCTGCATGGTATCCCGCTCGTCCACGTCGAACGCGTTCACCATGGTCTCGTGCGGCGGCGCGGCCGCGTTGTCGACGCCCTCACCGTCCCCGCCCTGGCCGCACGAGTCCGAGCGGTCGCGCTGCTCCTCCTCGCCGTCCACGCCGAAGACGTGCAACGCCTCCTCGTGCTCCAGCTTCCCGCCCCAGTCCAGGAGAGGTCCCTCGTCGTCCAGCTCCTTCATCACGCCCCTCTCGTACTCGTGGACGTCGCCCAGGAAGCCGGGCCCCTCCGCGAACTTCACCACGAGGCTGTTCACCAGCGTGGGGCAGGCAGGGATCGCGGCGAGCGCGTCGGGCCCCACCACCCAGATGCCGGCCTCCACGTCGCTGCACACGCCGTCCTCCCCGAGCGGCGGCGTGCCATCCCCTCGCTGCACCAGCGACGCCGCCCACGACGCGCTCGGACGACGGCGCCTCCACGGAGCGATCGCCTCGGCAGCCCCCGGACTTTGCAATCACTTCGCCCATGCGCAAGTCGCCCGTGCCGCCGACCTCGAAGCACGCCTCGGAGTCGAAGGCCGCCGCTGCACAGTCCAGCTCGGCCATGCTGAGCGCGGGCACCCCAGGCGCCCGCAGACGCGACGTGAGGGTGGCGACGATGTCCTCTTCGTCGTCGCGCACGGACTCCGCCTGCTTCGGCTCCTTCTGCCCGCCGCGCCGCGCCCCCGAAACGGGATGCCTCGGCTGCTCCAGCGGCGTCCCGCAGAGCGGCGCCACTGCCCGCGCGCGCTCGGCGCGCGCCTCCCCCGCCCCGTCGAGGAGAGGACACGCGAGGACAAGGACTCTCGGGCACGAGCCGCTTCCAAGTGCGCGCCCGAAGCTCCCGTGAACCACGCTCGGGAGGGAAAACGGCTAGGAGGAGGAGGAGGAGGAGGAGGAGGAGGAGGAGGAGGAGGAGGAGGTACAAGACGGACATACCGCCGCTGTACACCAAGGACCACGAGGCTACAGGACGATACCCAGACCTGCTACAGCACTGGTGGAACCAAGACCTGATCCGACGCCAATACCAAGACCGACAGGTACTTCGGGACAGGTCACCCTACACATCAGCAGCGGACACAGAATCAATGGTAATGTGCAGCAATGGCAGCAATGGATGGAATACCTCAATCCCAACCACAAGAGCATCATACTACGCTCCATCGACATCACCCGCGACGAGATCAAGGGTGACCTCACGAAATGGGCCACCATACAGTTCTGGAGAGACCAACTGCTACGCGGCCGCGAGGCCGCCGATATAGCTGGACAATCACGCGAGACATGGAGCGGGTACGAAGTACAACACGGCCAAGTACCGCAGGGGGCAATGAGCACACCAGGCTGACGACGGGTGGTGACCACTCCGCACTGCGCGGGCCACGGCGGTCCATTGCTCAGGATACAGACAGCGTCCTCAGCAGTGGTTCTGGCACGCCCCATCGTTGCGCCCGATCACCTACCCTGCAAGAAAAAGACGTGACCCCCCCATCACATCACCTGCGCATCACTCGATAACAGGACTTGACATATCACTAACCGTAGCGCAGCTTCGGCTCAAGAGCTAAGCCCAAGCTGACCAGCGCGCCCCTGGCGCACCCATTGCCAAGCGCAGCACATCATGAAGCCTCCTCTGGATCTACATCCTCAGCGGTTTGCAATGCCCCGGCAAGACCAAGACGAAGAGATCTGGATACCTGCAGACGTGTCTGGTACACTCTCGAAGTTCATCGACATCAACGAGGGCAAGCTCCACTGCACCAACGGAGTTATCGACCCAGACTACGCAAACCAACTACGAGTTGCAGATATCAGCGCAGCTCCACGCAAGACCCGGAGCGAGGCCCCGCCTGAGTACCAACAAGAAGGAATGCCAATACTCATGTCCTACAGCAAGGGCTGCGACGACAGGAAGGCGCTCATATACACTCCTGGAGACCCAAAAGCAGAACTGCAAGGGGCTGTTCCTTGCGCCGGCATCGTCCGGTCATCGCAAGGAGTCATCACGTCTGACTCCCTCGCGCGCTACTACGCGTACGTCTACTTCGACCTGGGTTTCATCTACGCCCCCCGCGGCAGTGATGGGCGGATTCGCGCGCGCCACCTATCGGCGCCACAGCGCCATCGCCCACCTCGCCGCAACTGGGGAGCGCTGGAAGGGCAAGATCGAGGAGACCTGGGTCGCCGTGGTTGACAGAAACATTGTCCATTCGCGCAGCGAGATGTGGACAGATACAGACCAATGGATGGACCGACCTAGTAACTGCCCGCGTCACCGCTCCGCCAAAAAGTATCGCGCACCAGAAGACGCCGCTAGCGACCGCGACCCCAAGAAGATGCCTGTCCACGACCTGGAGCAGCACGACATTCGAAAGCTGGCAAGCACTGACCCGCCACTACTACAAGCACCACCGTGGAATAATCTGGACGAAGAGCTCTTCGCGAACCTCCAGACGTCACGCATCTTCATATAGAAAGGCGTGGAAAAGCGCCTCAGCTTCGAAGAGACAGACCGCAGAGCCATTCATCACAACATCGAGAGAGAGACAGCCAGGAGGCATACGTCGTGGCGACCGCCGACATCTATGGCACCCTGCGCCCTACCTCCGAGATTGGTATACTAGCCGCATTTGCAAAGAGACACTGCGCAGACACGCGGAGGAGGAGCACTACATCCATGCGCGGACAACTACATTTTCCCGGTCGATCGCCACCACATTACTCCACAAACGATCGGCAGATTGCATTGCGACGAAACGGACCTCAGAGGACAGCGAGTACCGGTATACCTATGCCACCAACGGGAACTCGCACCCCTATCAGCATGGACGGGCACATGCCGAACGCCACCGCTACCTACAGCGGAGATCAACCACGCGACGATCGCAAGGCTGAGCCCCTCCACCAGCGATCCCCCCAAATGACCCGCCATCGTCGACAACGCCATCATCGAATGCCCAGCTCAGGTGCTGCAGGAGATCACCACTTCCTCGGAGACATGCACAGCGAGAATCGACGGAACCACCAGTGTCCACACGGAGGCCAATATTCGGGGGATCATCGCCCACCAAGTCGAGCTTACCCCAGACAGAGATGCACTAGCTGAGATAAGACGGCGACCTGACTACGAAGCACCAGAACATTTGCAACCGACCGACATCTTGCTCGGCGGCATCACGCTGACAAAAGGTCACCGCCATCGACAACCGACCCGAGCAATATGCACACAAAGCAGGGCGGCGCCTCACCGAGGACGAAGACAGCCACTGCGCGCATCATCTGCTTCAACACTGCCAAGAGCTACGCAACGCAGGCTTTCAGCCCATCAACGGGATACTTCCCCGATTGGCATGCGGCTTTTCCAAAAACTGGACCACAACGAGCACAATGACCATCTCGCACTGTCCCAGCAAATGCTGACCTGCAGCTCATCCATCGAAGATCTGCACCACGCGTCCAACCAACCGCCCCCCCTATCTATGCCGATTGTCTTCCAGCTCATATACGCCCTGAACGCGGCCGCAGCGCCGAAGCAGCCGCCGCCGCCGCCTGGTCCCCCCCCCGGGCAGAGCCCCAAAACAAACCACTACAACGATGCCAGTGGCCAACCGATAGTTCCGCAGCCCATGCGCCCCACCAATTTACACGCAAGGGTGCGCCCTGCGACCCGACCCATCCCACAACGCTAAACGGCCACTGGATTGGACTGGGCATGTTTCCGCAAACAGAAGCCTCGCCTACTACCACAACCTGGAGACAGGCACCACCCAGTGGAAGTTCCCAGGCGACGTCAACTACGATCCGTGCTGCGTTCGACAGCTAGCCGGCCAGAACGTCGAGGCTTTCAGCATCAACGAGGACGGCTGTTTCCTCCGCAGCCTCAGGCCGATTTCCCCATCCATCCCTCGACGGCCACCCTCCTATACCAGAGCGCCCAGCCAAACGAGAGCAGGCCGACAGAGCCACGGCGCAAACCATCCACGACCTACTCGACAAGTTGCGAATCGAATGCTAACGGGAACCAGACGCGCACGAATAGGTTGACCGATCACATCTACGGTACAGCGATCACGCAGGTGGCGCAGTCTTCTCCCGCCCCAAGGTCAACCAGGGCCCCTAGCCGTTCCTCATCTTCGGCAACAACATGCTCGTGGTCGCACGCGCGAGGGGGGCCCATGCCCCCCACGCGCAAGCCGCACCATCCACTTCATCAAGCAGCTACGCAGCCCCAAACCAATCCTGGCACCATGCGACGACCGCGGCGCCTTCGAGCGCGAGATCTACATCGAGATACTACCGACGCGAGATCCATCCTCACAGGGTGTGAGAACCCACAATGAGGAAACTATAGCCATGACCGCAATCAATAAGACAGCCCACCTATCGGCACCAAGCATCGCCTCATAGCGGGCCCATCTCAGGGACGCGGCCAGTGATATTCAATGCCCCACCTACCCTGCCGACCGCCAAGGAAGACCCAGCATAACCGCCAACGGGCAAGATCGACTGCGAGGGCAAGACCGCGCAGCAGGAGCACGAACCGCAGGGGCAACGCATGCCCATTACAGAACCCCCGATGTCAAGCGACAGCGCCCCCCACCCCCCCCCCCCCCCCCCCCCCCAGCAAACAACAACCAACCACCTGCCGTGCAAGTCGAACCACAGACGCCCACTGGATGGCCCCCCACCACGACGATCACCCACGAGAAGGTCAACCCCGTCACAATCACCTTCCCCACGGCCCTTTCCACACCAAGCTGGAGGACTCCATTGCGCACGGCACCATCGCGGTTAGAGACGGCGACGAGGTCACAAATCCGCAGTCGATCCTACAACAGCAGTAGCGACCTATGGGCACGGGGCACCATTACTCAGACCAGTAAGGCGCGAAGTACCAAACAAGCCACGATATCAGATACCATCACCGAGTACCGCTTCCAATGCAGCGGCATCCAGGAGGAGCTCGACACCCCCACCACGACGGTAGATGAACAAAAGGTCAGCTACGACCAGGCCCTCGGCATCCGGAAGTAGACCACCGCGGCCAGGGACTCAGCCCCCACGTTCGTCGACAGGGCCAACGGCCACATCAACCAACTACGCCCCTAACCACTGGCGATAGCCATCCTCGCCATCACCCACGCAGGGCTGGGCGGCCGAACGCGGTGCCCACGCGCCCGACGCCGTCACGGCACAAACTGCCGCGTCCTTTCAACCTCTCCGACCGACGCTCCAACCGACCTCTTCCACTCACACCCTGACTCTCTCTACGACTCACCTTGCTCGGCCTTCTCCGAGCGAGCCAGGATTACCCCATTTGGATGCCACTACACTGAGGCCATGCCTCAGGGCCGGACCGGCCGCACAGCGGCTGACCGTGCGATCCCGTGCTTCCACACCGAACGTACCTGCCTACCCATCTTTCTCACCTGCGGCAGAGTACTGACGAATGGCGGCAATACCTTGGATACGGCGACTACTTCAATTGCACCGCCTACATCAGCTTCGTGATCTGAGTCCACCTTCCTTCCCCAACCTTCACCACCTTCCTGGCCCTCGTGCCTCGCCCCGCTGGCCCCCCCCTCAAGTGGAATCGCGGTGGGCGGGGATATCATGTGAAGTGGAGGGGGAGGAGATAAAGACCTGCTCACCGCGCTGTCCCCGCCCGCCCACCAGCTCCTAGGGTCCAGCTCGCACCGCGCATTTTCCTTTTCTCTTCACCTGTGCACAGACATGGTCTTTACAGTGAGCATTCATGCTCCCGCACAGTACGCCCATGGCCATTCCAGTCCTCCTTATATTCTCCTCCTCACTTTTTCAGGCCGAGCGAAGGCGCATTAGGTCCCCACTCCAGAAGAGCATGGTAACTGCACCAACTCCAAAAGAGCATGGTAACTGCACCCCTCTGCCTCACCCCAAAAGGGCAGGCGACTGCAGCCGCTTCCGTGCCAAGCCCGTTGTAGCACCGCCTGTGGCATTCAGCTCCTACTCGCCCACCCTCATCGCTGGGCTCCATCTCGCCTTCCAGGCCGAGCGAAGGCGCTGCAACCTCATGTCTTACCTCTTGCTTCTCGCGACTGTTCACATTTAAGCGGTCTGAATGCGCATGCCTACTTTTTGGTGTTCCCCCTCCTTGCCGTTCCCCCCTTGTGTTTTTCGGGGTCCCTCGTCGCGGGCCTCCTTGGTCCTCCCCCGCAGCGCTAAGTAGACCGCCGCGCCATGCTGTCCAGGCGCTCTTCGCTTCTCCCCTGCACGTTGGTGAGGCTTCTCGCCATATTCTCCTTGTTTGCATTTCCCCTAATGACCCCGCCCCCCCCGCCCAGCCGCGGCGAGGGGGAGCAGGAAAAGTGGCTGCATGGGGACCGACGACCGCCATCATCAGCAGAAACAGCGGCAGCAGCAGTGGGAGGACGAGAAGGAAGAGGAGGAGGAAGAGGGGGAGGAGGAGGAGGAGGAGGAGGAGGAGGAGGAGGAGAGGAGGGAGGAGGAAGGAGGAGGGGAGGAGGAGGGGGAGGAGGAGGAGGGGAGCAGGTGGAAGAGGAGGAGGAGGAGGAGGAGAGAGAGGTGGAGGAGAGGAGGAAGAGGAGGGAGGAGGAGGAGGCGGAGGAGGAGGAGGAGGAGGAGGAGGAGGAGGTTGAGGGAGGGCGGATGAGGAGGAGGGGGGAGGAGGAGGAGTGAGGAAACCCACCTCTTGAGGGTAGGCCTCCCTCGCTGGCCCTGACGGGGGCCGCGAGGCGTGGCCGAGGGCACATCCCTTGTCTGGGGCTGCGTCCTCCCCATGAACCCACCTCGGGGGCGTCAAAGAGTGAGTCGTGCGCAGAGGTCGGCGGCGGGGGGACTTGCGCGGCGGAGTTTTGGAATTCCTTGCAAACGAGTGGCCTCCCACCTCCTGATCTGCGCTTCCGGCGTGGGTCCTCAGTCGTGCCGCCGCGCAATTTTGCGCACCGCCGTGGCTTTTGCAACGGGGCGCGTCTCGTAGTCGCAGGCGCGCGTCGATGCTTTTTAGCTGTCCGCATTGTCGCTGGTCCTTTCGCTGGAACCGACTGGTCGAAAACAGGAGCATATACACTACCAGCGGCGGGCTGTTTTTCATCCCACGACTGTCTGGGGGGTCGGGGACGACGTCGGGGTGGTGTGGTGTATACTTTTTGTTTCCGGCTCCCGGGGGATCAACGGAAAATGTATGCACCAGGATGCCGTATACACCAGGACCCGCTTTCCTGTGCAAGTGTCAGTGAATGGCCAGAAGACGCGCCGGTGTATAGAGCTCGTTTCGGTAATTGGGGGGAAGATAATCTCGGAGATCTTGGCGTTTCAATTGTTTCGATCCGGGCGTTTTCGCCCAGATTCGGGCGCCAGGATCCTCGCCGATCGATCTGGCTATAAAATTGCGCAGAGAAGTGGGCTCTGGGGCTCCAGCCGTGCTTTTTAAACGTTTCCATTTTTTCGAGACGTCGGATCTGAGGGATGGCTCGGTGCGGACGAAATTGGCACGGAAAGAATGGGCACGATGCCCAACAGCAGGTCCTGTCCATTTTGAACAGGACTCGCTGTCCTCGCCGCCGCGGGCGCTGTCCACTGGAGACGGAAGGCCGCCTGCCCAACAGCGGCCGCTGGCCATGTTGGACATGGCCTGTTGTTGGGCACCGTGCCCATTGTTTCAGTACCTTTTGGGGCGTCCAACATGGCCGGGTCCAGGAGGCCTTCCTGCATGTCACGGCCCCGTCTGCTGTTTTCAGCACGTCCGCCTTGCTTCTCCCCCCCGCCATCCGCGCATATTCCAAATCCTTTACTAATCGTAACCAATCCCTGGGAGGGTCCCTGGCCGATTGAAAATTGAAATATTCAACCGGCGACCTCAATATTTGAGTTCAAAACCTCGGAATTGAATTCGGCCGCCGCCACTTCAATAGTGGAGTTGTAAGCCCCAACTTGAAATATTGAAAAGTTTCAATTCTGGACTCCAGAATTTAATATTGGAGTATAGAAATTTAAATGTCAATATTGAGTTTTAGCTCAATCTTGAGTTTCAAACCCAACATTGGGGGTAGAACTCCAATATTGAACTTACGAGGCCGTAGGCGGGGCCAGAGGAGAGAAGGGATAAACTCGCACTTCCCAGGGGAGAGACAACGGGCAGAGTGGGGGAGGGGGAGGGGGAGGAGGAGGAGGAGGAGGAGGAGAGGGTAGGAGAGGAGTAGGAGGAGGCCGTCCTTCTGTCTATTATGCTTAAGTATGGTGAGGAGGAGGAGGCCGTAGCATGGAAAGCACGCCCCGCCCAAAAACAATCACCCGAGGCGTCTGGTGACTGGTGTGGGTCCGCCCGCCCAGGACAGTCACCAAGAGCCTTGGGTGACTGTTTTGGGCAGGGCGGAGCCCCGCGGGCGGGACATTAGAGCACGACGCAGCACTCGCGGTACCCAGACCCCCCCGGGCAATGAAAAAATCATGACGGGAGGTTTTTCCTAATTTTCGGCCTTTGGAGGCCCTCACTGGCCCTCGGGGCTGTCAAAAAACGACTCGGGATGAAAAACCGGTCCCGGGGAATGGGTCGAGATCTCTGGGGGTCGACGTCATGAAAAAATCATGACGTCGGGGGTCTGGGTAGCAGGCGCGTGCTCTAGCGGGTCGGTCGGGTCGGGCGGGCGGGACCTTGAAGGTCGACGCAGCTCTCTAAGTAGCACACGCTTGCCCTGGCGGGCCGGTCGGGTCGGGCGGGCGGGACATTAAAGCCCGACGCAGCTCTCGAGGTAGCGTGCGCTTGCTCTAGCGGGCCGGTCGGGTCGGGCGGGCGGGGTTGACGCAGCTCTCTAAGTAGCATGCTGGTCGGGTCGGGCGAGCGCCGGGTCGGGCGGGCGGGACTTCAAAGTCGGACGCAGCTGGCGAGGTAGAACGATCTTGCTTTTGTGGACCGGTCGGGTCGGGCGGGCGGGACATGAAGGTCCTCTCTCATACTTCCCCGCGCGCTCTCTACTTCCCCGCGCGCTTCCCCGCGGTTCTGCCTCCGCCGCCATGCCGCCTCAATATGTATCAGGTAGTCCCTCCCGCCGGGCGTGGCATAGGGTGGACTCATGAGCTCGGCGGGCTCGGCCGCGCCGACCGCGGCCAGCGACCGAGCTGTCCGAACATGGGCGGGAGGAGGAGGATGAGGAGGAGGAGTAGGAGGAGGTGGAGGAGAAGGAGGAGAAGGAAGATGAGGATTGCGACCAGGAGGAGTTGGAGGAGGAGGAGGAGGAGATGGAGGAGGAGGAGGAGCGAGGATGTGGAGGAGGGGGAAGGGGGCGGAAGGACCTCCCCAGGACGATTTTTGTTTGCCACGGGCGACCGGCCCAAAATAGTCACCTGAGCCTTTGGGTGACTGTTTTGGGCGGGCGTTCATTTAAGCGATGAAGATCGGCAGCAAGCGAAGGAGGGAGGAAGAGGAGAAGGAGGAGGAGGAGGAGGAGGAGGACGAGGAGGAGGACGACGATCTTTTTCGCCACAGGCGTCCGGCCCAAATGGGCAGCAACCGGAGGAGGGAGGAGGAGGAGGAGGAGGAGGAGGAGGAGGAAGAGGAGGAGGAGGAGGAGGAGGAGGAGGAGGAAATATGCCTCTAACCTCCTGTTTCGCAGGCCAATCGAACCTCCAATTTTGGATTTCCCAACCCTGGAATTGAAAAAACACAATCTCGGGTTTCGGAAGCCCCAATATCGGGGTTGGAACCCCGATATTGGACCAAGACTTCAATATTGAACCCCAAGATTGGGAAAGGTCAATATGTCAATCCGGAGTTTGACAACTCCACTTTTGGTTTTTTTTCCAATCCAGGAGGATGGGAAGTCCAATATTGAAGGTGGGGATTGATATTATTTAATTCCGGAGTCGAGACCCCAATTTTGGGGACCCACCGCCGGTGGAGCTAACTTTTTATCGACCCCCCCTCAAAAAAATGGACCGCCCTCCAAATGCGACCTAATATTCCGGACCTTTTTCTTCGACTGGGCGCCTTAATCAACCGGACACCCTAAGCTCCAACCCAAAGAACGCGCCCCAATAAGCCGGACCCCCCAAGTTACAAAAAAGGCGCTGAACAAAAATTGGACCCGGGGGACGATTCATAAGGGTTTTCGAGTACGCCTCGGGCCATGATTTGCCCCCCTCCTTGGACGCCCCCCTCCTTGGACGCCTCCGATCCCGCCCCCTCCTGCTCCTCTGGATCCCTGTTGCCTTGGCCCAGGCGCCGGCACGCTCTGCGGGAGCTCGCCTGTCGTATCGCCCTTGCCAGGGGCGGCTCGTGGATTTCACTTTCCCTTTCCCTGCAGAGGCGACGATAGGGGCGAATAGCCCAGGTGGGAGCCATACGCCAGGGGCGCCGATGACGCATGTCTTCGGCGAGGCCCCCAGGCGAATAGGTGTAATGCCCGCCCCTGTGCTAGTCGCCCTTCTCGTCGCCGCCGATCTCTCTCCCGCTCGGGCAAGACTACCAGGGCGCTGTGCCCTTGTCCGTGCGGCGGCATCCACGGTCGATGTAGGCGCCCACCCTGGGCCGGCCAGCTGTGGCCGCCCGATTTCCTGATGTGCTTGGCCAAGTCCTCCGTTCAGGGGCAAAGTTGAGGGGGGGACAGGCTCAGAGGTGGATGCGGCGGAGGGCTGGAAGGAGCAATCAAAAATGAGCAGACATCAAAGAGAGCAGCCTCGCCAGCTGGCCCCGGGCCTGAAGACGAGCAAGATCAACAGCGACCTCAAGTGCGAGTACGGCGGCGACTCCGGAACAGGCGGCCTCTTTTTGGCGGCGCCCTCGGGCGTTGTCCCGAGAGAAGGGGAGGAGGGTCCTACTCGTTGTCCGCACCTGGCGTTCAGCAGGTCTGATTACAGTCGACCCGCAGAGTAAGAATGGGATACCTTCCGAAGGGTACCTCTGCATCCTTGCCTCCTCGGTCCATCCTTGGCCATTTTCGTCGGCCGCGCTCCACTCGAAAAGCTTCGAATTGGGCGCCCAAGGCCCTGGCATCCTGATTGCGGACCCCCAAAGGTCTCGACCCCTTCCCCGGGGCCGGTTCCTCATCCCGAGTCGTTTTCCCAAGACACCCTCGCGTTGCGACAAAAATCACGACGGAAGGTTTCTCGTTGTTTTCGGCCTCTGGAGGCCTTTACCAGGCCTCGGGACCGTCAACAAACGACTCCGACTCACGATGAGAAACTGGTCCCGAGGAATGGGTCACTAACTCGACATTGTGAAAAATCATGACGTCGGGGGTCTTGGAACGTGGACCCCCAAAGATCTCGACCCGTTCCACGGGACCGGTGTCTCATCCCGAGTCGTCTTGTGACGGCCCCGAGGCCCGGCGAGTGCCCCCCCTGGGCCGAAGATCACGCAAGACCTCCCGTGGTGATATTTTCACGACCCGAGGGTTCAGTCGGGCATGTCCCTTTACAGGAGGAGTATCCAAACATGGTCAAAATATAAGCCAGCGTTGACTCCAAATAGATAGTTGGTGATGATCATCGGCATAGGCACAGGCATAGGAGCGCTCAGAGGTGGTGCATAGGCATAGGCATAGGCATAGCCATAGGCGTAGGCGTAAGCATAGCAGATGTGGGGAGGCATAGGCATAGGCATAGCCATAGGAATTAGGGGGTCTCATAGGAATTAGGGGAGGTGGGCAATGGACCAACTAGTAGGGTTTGAGTTCGAACCCCTATAGGGCCAGCCTATTTGGAGAAAATCGTCTGGGAACGACCTTTGAGCACTTGGTGGCTATTTTTGCGTATGTTCTGCCTTTTTTTACTCATCCTCCACAATCCACCTGTAGAGGGACGTCTCCGACCTCACCCGAGGGGGTCTGGGCTCATCGACGCTCTCAGGGGCCAGCTTCTGCATCCTGGATCGCTCCTGCTCGCTCCCGGCTGCCTTCGGGCCCCCCCGGGGGAGTATCATGGCGCCAACATCGGGAGCCGTGAGACGGGGGTCAATGCAGACAGGGGTCAGCCAGAGCGCCCGATCTTGCAGGATCCTGCAGGGCAGGGTCGCATTGACCCGGGTCTGGGTGCAGGATCCTGCAGGATCTTGCAGGATCCTTCGCATTGACCCTGGTTTGGGTGCAGGATTTTGCAGGATCCGGCAGGATCTTGCAAGGCCTGACTGACCCGGGTCTGGATTGACCCGGGTCAGAAGATCCCCGCCAACATCGCAGAGCGGATTTCGCTCGAAAAACCATCCTGGAGAATTTCCGTTCCGGATTTCGTGATGAATTTCGCGCGGATTTTTTGTTGGTCGGGAACGGACGCCCTGGGGTCTCAGGGTTGGGTTTCTTGTGGGCTGGCCTCCACTGTGGTGCATCCTGGTGCCCCAGATATTTTCCAGATGCCTCGGTGGGGGGGGGGAGCCGTGGGGAGCGGCCCCGGAGTTGGCGAGCGGCGGGCCCCGCCGAGGCGACCGCCTTCGATCTCGGCCTCGCGCAGAGTGGGGGGGGGCCCAGACCCCCTCGGGTGAGCAAGTCCGCCCGGCGGAGGGCCCAACCGCGTGCAGCTGCGGGCACCGTCGCTGCATGCACCACCTTCAGGGGAGCTCCCTGGGGGGCCACGCCACGTGTGGTCTCTGTGTGTGTGTGTGTGCCAGGATTGGCGCGGTGGGCGCATGCGAGCGCTGGCATGCGGGCCTTCGGTGGAGCTCCCTACGGGGCCACGAAACGTGTGAGGGGCGTGCCAAAGTGGGTGCGGTGGGCGTACGCGAGCGCTGGCATTTGGGCCTTCGGTGGAGCCCCCTTCTGAGGCGACAGAACGTGTGAGGGGTGTGCCAAAATCGAAGTGTGTGCTGTGGCCGCACGCGAACGCTGGCATGTGGGTCTTCGGTGGAGCCCCCTTGTGGGGCCACGAAACGTGTGAGGGGTGTGTGTGTGTGTGTGTGTACCCAAATGATTCGGGGTGACAGGAGCAGGAGGAGGAGGAGGAGGAGGAGTAGGAGGAGGAGGAGAGAAGAGGAGGAAGGACGCGTGGACCGTCTCTTCAAAACGAGAATCCAACACCACAAGATGGCTGGGACAAAATCATGGCGGGAGGTTTTTCTTACTTATCGGTCTCTGGAAGCCCGTACCGGCCCTCGGGTCTGTCAACAAAAACAGTTCAGGATAAAATATTGGTCCAGGGGAATGGATGAGACCTTTGAGGGTCGACGTTATGAACAAATCATGACGTCGGGGGTCTGGGTAGGGCAAATTGGGAAGACTTCTTAGAAGCACCCCCCCTTGATAGAAGGCGCGGGCGCCTCTTCTAAGAAGCTGCTGGCTGCTCCTCAGCAGCTGTCCCTGGCGTGCTGCTGAGAAGCAGGTGGCTTGCTTCTAGGAGGCTGTGTTTGCTTCTAAGAAGCAGTTCCGTGCCTCTAAGAAGCTGCTGTTGTGCTTCGCAGAAGCGGCGCGCCCCTGGCATCTTAGAAGGGCGGCTGGCGCCTTCAAAGAGGCAGCCGCCTTCGGAGAAGCTTTCCCCCCTATCCATACCCCGTTGTGCGCGCCGACAGCGATCCCTCGAAGCACACAGCACGGCACAGGCAGAATCGGACGGGGCCAGGACGAGGATGCAGCCAAGACGTTGAGATACAGGGACCGTGTTGGGTCCGGAAGGGGCTCGTTGTTCCTCAGGTCTTGCCGTGGCTGTTCCTCCAGCCCCCCTCGTGAACGAAGGCGGCTTTGGGGTCCAAAAGAGTCTTCGTTCCCTCTTTGGCGTTCCTCGTGTCAGCGGGCCGCCAGTGAAGCCGGTCCAGAGCGTTCCGGAACCTCCTCGGAGCGCGCCGGTGGGCTCAGAGGCTCCAAGGAGGCCGCGGCGCCCGAGACACACTCCAGAGCCGCAGGGTCTTGGAGTGCCCCTCGTTTCGGGGGGCATCCTCCTCCTCCATCTCCTCCTTTTCCTCCTCCTCTTCCTCCTCCTCCTCCTCCTTCTCCCCCTCCTCCTCCCCCTCCTCATCCTCCTCTCTGCGTCGTGGCTGGGCACCGTGAGGGCGGCCGGCAGGGGCCAACGTAGACTTATTCCGGAGTCTTGAGGCGGGGGTCAATCCAAACGGGGGTCAGCCAAGGCGCCAGACTCTTTCGGGATCCTGAAGGGCCAGGGGTGCGTTGACCAGGGCTTGCCTGCAGGGTCCTGCAGGGTTTTGCAGGATCCTGCAAGGCCCGACTGACCCGGGTTCGGGTTGACCTGGTCAGTTGACCCCCGACCTCTTTCTCATCGAGAACAAGAAGAACCCCTAACCCTAAGAATACGATGAAGACGTGGCCTCACTGAGGCCCCCGTCTTCGCATCAGGCATAATACTTCTGGGCGGTTTGGTCGGATGCACCTGCAGAAAAATAAACCTCTGATCCGAAATGTTCTTGGCCCTCCTAACTTAGGCCCCCTCCAAAAGGGTTCGGGGTGGAGGTTTTCTCCCAAGGGATAAGGCGACCCGTCCTCCTCTTCTTCCTCCTCCTCCTCTTCCTTCCCTCCTCCTTCTCCTCCTCCTCCTCCTCCTCATTCTCCATCTTCTCCTCCCCCTCCCCCTCCTCCCCCTCCTCCCCCTCCTCCTCCTCCTCCTCCTCCTCCTCCTCCTCCTCCTCCTCCTCCTCGGGTCGCCTGCGGCCCAGGGGAAGCGGTGAAGTTCGGGAGCGCCGCGGCTTCTTTTTCTGACGCGTGGGCGTGGCGCTCTCGGAGGGGCGAGGGTGGTTCAGGACGAGGGGCTCGGGCCCGGTGGAGGAGGAGGAGGAGGAGGAGGGGGAGGAGGAGGGGGAGGAGGAGGAGGAGGAGGAGAGGGAAGATGATGATGATGATGATGATGATGATGATGATGATGATGATGATGATGATGATGATGATGATGATGATGATGATGATGATGAGGGAGGATGAGGATGAGGATGAGGATGAGGATGAGGATTAGGATGAGGATGAGGATGAGGATGAGGATGAGGATGAGGATGAGGATGAGGATGAGGATGAGGATGAGGATGAGGATGAGGATGAGGGTGAGGATGAGGATGAGGATGAGGATGAGGATAATGCTGATGCTGATGCTGATGCTGATGCTGATGCTGATGATGATGATGATGATTATGATCATGATGATGATGATGATGATGCTGCTGCTGATGATGATGATGATGATGATGCTGCTGATGATGATGATGCTGATGATGATGATGATGAGGAGGAGGAGGAGGAGGAGACTTCTTAGGCCCTCTTGGGGCCTCCTTGGGGCCTTCTGGGTCTGGCCGAGACTGACGTGTTCCCCCAAAGCTCGGCGGCGAGCGAGGGGGGGAGTGAGAAGGAGGAGGCCTTCTCGGAAGGCGACTCGGTAATTAGCCTTCGCACTTTCGGAGAAGTTTCCTGCGTCTTCGGGGAAGACTTCGGAATCTTCTCAGAAGGCCGAGGGACTTCTGAGCATTCTGAGAAGGCCCGCCCCCTTCTCACCTCTCCCTGAGCGCGCCGCCGAACATCGCCGATCATCACGGCTTTTAGAAATTGGTCGAAGTCGGCCGTGATGTCGGCCACCGCCCTCATGATGCGCGAAGTACTGAGTCGACAGAGGCTGCGCGACTGCACCCCCCTGTGGACCCTTGTGGCCGAGCAGCCAGACCTTGCACGCCGCCACTTCCCTCCCCCCTTTCCCCCTTCCCTCCTCCATGCGCCACTCTATTGCGAGCTGAGGGACGTAAGGAGTGGAAGCGAGCGTGCGCCCGCGGCCGCGTCGGCTCAAGCGGCCGGCCGCCCAAATATGACTCTGCCTTATTGCGAGGCACGCAATCGCTATCGAGACCAAAAGGATCGTCCTATTGCTTAAGATGGCACATCCTCTCCTACTGGGACTATCGCTACGAGATCTGGGCCCGTGGGGCCCAACGGCTTCGCTGCGCAGCCGCCTCCCCGACAGCGGCGCCCCGCAGTGCGTTGCGCAGGCTTCCGGGGTGCGCCTGGCAGGAGGCCACGGGCAGCTTGATGCACAAATTTTAGTCAGCGGCCGCGGGCGAGCGCGCCGGCGGCGAGTCAGGTCAAAGCGGGCTACGCAGAGACTAATTTGGCAAAGGAGACGTGGGAACAAAAACAAACAGAGCAACGCGCGAGGCGTCGGCTAGGCGCGGCCGAGGCCTCAAGTAAGTGGCTGAGGGGACTGAGACTGAGGGGAACTGTCAGCGTGCAAAGCTGCAAGCTTGATGCACAAGCGAAGCGGGTGCGCACCGCGACGTGCGACCAGGCTCGAGAAGCAGAACCTGCTCGGCAACACCGCGCTCCGGGGGGAAGAGGCAATCGTTATGGGAAGGGCCGCTCTGCGCGGCGCCTTCCGCGCGGTGGCGCGGCCTGGCCGTCCAGGCTTCGTGGGCCAGCACGGAGAGGTGCTTTCGTCGATCTATGTTGGCAGTGCGTGGACCTCGGCGGGGAGAAGCTGAAGAAAGCGAGGGCGACGGCCACTGAGAACTGCCAGCGAGCCAGGGACCTTTCCCGACAGACTCGTGCTAGTGCTCCTGGCTCCCCGGCTCGATGGCGACAGATACACCCGAAAGGTGGTATTTTTTGGTCTGGTACCAAGGGGGGGCAGCCTCACGGTCATTCGTCGGATTCGGGGCAGGCGGAACTGTCATCATACCCGGCACCGGCCGCCCGTTGTTCGAGTGATGGAGGGTATGCGGCAGATGTCGAGGACCGGGAGGGGACTTCCGGGCTGCTCTCGGCGCCCCGTGGCGCAGTACTGTTCATTCGAAGTTGGGCGGTGGCTGTGAAAGCAGATCGAGCTGAGCATTGCAAACGGATGATATTTATGGCATGCATGAAAGTTGCCCCCCGGTCGGCGGCGTGATCCTGTTGAACGATGGATGTTCTGGACTTTCCCGGGGTGGGATGGGGCCTGGCCCCTCCAACGGCACGTTTGGGCCCCACGGGCCCTGCAGATGGAGGAGGAGGAAGAATAAGGACCGGGGGTGCGGGGGGAGGTTGGGGAGGATTGTTTCGCCCTGCCACCAGGGGAGATGGCACCACGATTGTTGTTTCGTGCGAAGGCACGGCCCTGACAGAGGGCGCAGGCCATTCTCACAGCCATTCTGGGCCGAACGCGCCCAGAGTTCTGTCGTGCCCGTCCCTCTACAGGAGGAAAATTCAAAAGGATTATGAAAAATAGTCTGGGGACGATTTGTTTTAGCACTTTTTGATGATTGTGGTTCATTGTCCGGGTCTGTTTTTGATTTTTCGCCCAAGATCCCCCTGTGGGGGGACATGCCTGACCTAAGCCAAGAGATACGCGCGACGCTTGCGCCCGTGGGTGCAGCTCTCGCAGCGGGGACAGAAGCACTGCTGGCAGCGCGGAGCCCAGAGGCGGAGGCCTCCCCCCGGCGCCCGGCGCCCTTGGGAGGCCTGCTCCCACTGCCTGCCCAGGGCCACGAGCGCGACGACAGATGCCGCAGCGGCTTCTGGCCTGCACGAACTGCTGCGCGTGCCGCATGCCTGCTAGGACTAACTCACCGCTGGGAGGACCTCTGCGTGCTGGCTGACGGCTGCGCCCCTGCGGAGCTGGGCGGCTGGCGCATCGGGGCACGACTCCAGTGAGCCAGCCATCGTCTTTCCAGTCGCCGTGAATCTTCAGATTCTATGCTAGCCGCGAGGAATCAAACACTAGCATGATTGTTCTGCGTGTGCTCATCGTCTTCAATCTCTCCCCCTTCCCTGCCGCCCCCTCCCCTGTGCCCCTGTGCTCACCTCCCTCACGCGTCACCTGTTGTTTTTCCTTCCCCCTGTAGATTTCCGCACCCATCCTTCCCATCTCTCCCCCCGCACTCACTATCACTCCTCCTACTATCACTCCTCCCACTTCCTTCTCCCACTTCCTTCTCCCGCATTGTCCATTCTGCTGCTGCTCCCCAGCTCCTCATGCGGATCCTTCCCATGCAGAAGCTACGTCAATGTATGGTGTTGTTGCTGTGTCTCCTAATGTTGTATGTGGCGCCCGACTATGAGCTATAAGCGCAGCGTCCTCTGCAAAAAGCTTCTCCTTCAACAGTCGCTCAAACACCTCAGACAGCGTTTGAGGGTCTCTCACCCGAAAATTTCCGGGGACCCGTTCGCCTGGTGGCCGACATGTCAGCACCACCCCAAGCCAAGCGGGCCAGGTCGTTCCCCTGGCGCTCGGACGTGTGCATTTTTTCTCGGCGAGGACCATCGAGGAGCATCCTTGATCACTTGGCGAAAAAACCACGCGCGAAACCGAAAAGAACACAAAAAATGGACGTCCGAGCGATGGCGAGGGCGCAGGTCCAGGTATTCTTCCACCTCCTGCTCCCTCCACACTCCCGCGCAGATTCTTGCTCCGTCCCCTTCTTTTCCTCCGACACCCTATACATCGCCGGACCGAAGTCTCCTCCCCGCCATCACTCTAGAAGGGCGAGTCCCGTCGCCGACGCACGGCCCCACGACCTCTCTCTTGCCGCGGGCCCTTCGGAACAAAAGGCGGCTCGCAGCGCTCAACGCATGGATCTTCATCGAATTCTGGCGGAAGGTCCTGGAGAACAAGGCTCCACACTATTTCTCCTTACTACTCCTAAGAGTTACTCCCTTCCTACTCTTCCCCCTCCGCTTCCCTCTACCCCGTCCTTCCCCTCCCTGGTGGACAGACACATATTCATTCAGACATGCATGCATGCATGCATGCATGCATGCATGCATGCATACATACATACATGCAGACATACACACATACACATACACATACACATATATCTACATAATTGCATACACGCAGACACACAGGCAGGCAGAAAGGCAGACAGACAGACCGACATTGAAACACGTACTGAGAGACATAACAACATAACAAAAAAGACAGAGAGATAGCGAGAGAGAGAGAGAGAGAGAGAGAGTCGGCGACGATGGAAGCAGGCCAGGCATGACGCGGCCTTCGCATTCTCTTCTACCCCCCCTTCCTCCGTGGAGGCCGCCGGAGGCCGACGGCAGACACAGCGAACCACTGTGCATGTCGGTCTCTCTTTTCCTCATCCTCCTTCCAGGAGGAGGACGAGGAGGAGGAGGAGGAGGAGGAGTTGCAGGAGCACGGGGAGGAGGAGGAAAAGGGGGAGGAGGACGAGGAGGGGGAGGAGGCCCCTCGGCACCATGGGGCATCGGTGCATGTCTTCCGCCCCGCCCCCCCCCGCCTGCGGCTGCGGGCAAGAGCTGCGACCACCGGGTGCGGCCACCCCGCCTCACGCCTCTCCGTCCCTGCCCTGCCTGGCGGCAGAGGCAGGGGCGGTTGCGCCACCCAGGCCAGGGCAGGCCTGTGGTCACTGAGCGCTCGGTCATTGAGGCCTCGTCCTGCATGTGTATGTGTAGGTGTGAGGCCATACCTCTATACATACATACGTACGTACAGACAGACAGACAGACAGACAGACAGACAGACACACAGACGTACGTACGTACGTACACACCTACATACATCCATACATACATACACCCATACGTACACACACATATGCATACACACCTGCATGTATGAATGCATAACTACATGCAGATATGCATACACAAATCCAGCCATAAACACATACATACATACACACATACCTACATGCACACATACATCTATTCATCATACATATATTCATACACTTATACATATGACTATAACACATGTTTATACACATGTACGTCGCATATGTGTGTGTGTGAGACGGAGTGTGTGTGTGTGTTTGTGTTATACTCCACCTCCTCGGCCCCTCTCTGGCATGCTGTCAGCCTCCACCGTTTCTTCTCCCGGCCTGCCTGCCGCCGCGCCACTGCCGCCCGACGTGCGGGGCAGCTTCGGCATCGTCCTTGCCCCGCAGCAGGCATGCAGACGACGACGACGACCAAAGCGTCCATAATTCAGGTGCGCCAACACACGTGAATCATGTCGGTTCGTGCTAGTTGTTTCGTCCGCTGCGGAGCCATCAACCTGCCCAGGGGTATCATGAGGACGTACGGGGAAGGAAACGTCAGGGCGGGGGGGCGAGAGGGACTAGCAGCGCAATACCGCATGCGCCAGGTCTACTCCGAGCACGATTGGACGGTGAAGGTCGATGTTGATGCAGTCTTCTTCCCCGACAGGCCCCAAGCTTTTCCTCGGCGTCGGCCTGTTTCTGCTGTTCCCTGGTGCACAGGGGGGCGGGTGTGCTTCTTCCACCACCTCCACTTGCCATTCTGCGAAAAGGAGGAGTGGAGGCGGATGCGGAGGAGGACCAGCCGGGCGCCCCCTGCGGGCCTTCTGTTCCACCGGCGTGCTGTATTCACTCTGCCTCGTAGTGCTCACCCGGCTTGCCCCCCAACCACCCAGCCTGGCATGAAGGACGCGGGTCCTCGAGGGAGGGGACTTCGGAAAGCTGTTCTCATTGTCGGGCGGCTCAGGATGAAGAGCTCGTGCCGAGAGGAAGGCCGCCGGCACCCGTGTCCCGCAAGACCCCGTTCTTGCCTGGCGTCTCCGCGCCCGGAGGCCTCAGATCGGCGCCGAGCTAGGAGGTGAAGTGAGAAGGAGACGGCCTTCTCGGAGGGCGGCGGGACTTCTCAGAAGCCCCCGCGCCTTCTGCGGTCTTCTGCCTCTTCCGGGAAGGCGTGGCACTCTTCGCAGAAGTCCCGGGGACTTGCGAGCTTTCTGAGAGAAGGCCGGCCCCTTCTCACTCCCCCCCGGGCTCGCTGCCGATCTGAGGCGTGTTCGAAGCGAACAGGCTGCAAGGCATTGGCACGTGTCTCAAGGGTGTGGGCATCTTGGGGCGTCCTTGGGAGATTCCGTGGCCACTTGGAGCCCCTGGAGGCATGTTGGTGGCGTGCTCAATGCCGTGTTGAGCCAACTTGGAGCACGGTGTGTCATCTGGGTCCCAGGTGACGCACGTTGGTCACATTGGTGGTCTTGCTGGTGACTTGGTCACGTTGGTGATCGTGCTGTTATCGGTCGTACTGGTGGTCGCGAGAAGCGTGGTGGTCGTGGTGGTGGTGGCGGTAAATGGTGGCGGTTCTAATCGTCGCGGTGGACGTGGTTGCGATCGCGGCCGTGTGCAGTGATCGCGGCGGTGGTAGTCATGGTGCTGGCGGCGGTCGCGGCGGCTGTGGCGGCGGCTGCGGGGACCTGCTGGCCTAGCGCCGGAGTGCGTTCACCAGCATCGCGGAATGTTTAATGTTAGAGGGATTTGCTGATCTGCCGAGGTAGCCCGGCAGCCGCCTTCTCACCAAGGGGGGCCGCTGCGTGGGCGACTTTCTTATCCCGAAGGCAACCTACTTGTTCGGCGGCCGTGTAGCGGGCGGCGCGCGTGCGATCCGCCCCGTGGGTGCCCGCCACACGGGCGACGCACTCACCAGAATGCTCCCTTGACAGGGCGACGTGCACGTTCGCGAGGACGGTCGGCCTTTTCGGCGGCCGACGCACGGGCGGCGCAGAGGCGACGAAAGCGCGACGCACCCTTCGTCGCCAAGGGGGGGGTCAGCACGCCGGTCGCACTACTGGGCCTGGCCAGTTTGGGAGGCTATCCCATGACATACGCGGCACGGCGGAGCCATCGTACCCCTTGGACCTCCCAAGGATGCCCCCGAAAAGGCGGACGGCACTCAAACATCGAATGTCTTGTGAGCGTCATTGGGGCCGCCTCGGAGCCGTCACGGGTCCTTCGCGGGGCTTTCTGGAGCGATCTTGGAGCCACCTCGGGGCCCCGAGGCCCGTCGGAGGCCGAACGTCTGCAAATCATACCTGCAGCTAATCGGGCATCTCGGGGGCGTCCCTGGGAGGCCCCTTGAATCCACGCGAGGGCAATCCTGGGGCTCCTGGGAGACGCGTTGGAGATCATCCTGAGCCATCGGGGGCAGCAGTGGACGCCCTTATCTCTCGCGCCCCCCCCCCCCCCCATCCACACCCAGGGGAGGGGCTCCCCCTTGAGAAGGTTCGGCGGCGAGCGAGGGGGAGAGTGAGCAGAGGGGGCCTTTTTCAGAAGACTCGGAAGTCCCCCGGCCTTCTGAGAAGTGTCTTCAGCCTCCCCCAACGACGCGGAAACTCGCATCAGAAGGCGCAGGGGGCTTCTGAGGAGTCTCGCCGCCTTCTGAGAGGGCCTTCCCCTTCTCGCTTCCCCCCTCCGCTCGCCGCCGAGAGGTGGGCGGGCCCCTCCACCCCGCGCCCTCGACGGGGACGCCCGCGCGCCCGTGTCTCCAAGACGCCCCCAAGACGCCCCCGAAGCGGCCGAGCACTCCCGCCCCCTTTCCGCAGGGGCCCGACGCTCGTGCTGGCTGTCGCCACGCGCGCGTGGCTCGGGCCCTCGGCGCCGGCCCGGCCTTCCCCCAGCTCGCGCTCCGTCCCTCGTTTCTTTCGGTCCCTCTTCGGGCCCCTCGCTCGTCGTTTCGGCGCCACGGGCAGGAGTGTTCGGCAGACGATCACCCGCGCGCAAATCCCCCCCCCCAAAAAAAAAAACCTCCCAGGCCCCCCTCGGGTCATTAAAGAATCACGGCGGGCGGTGTTGCACGATCTTCGGCTAGCGGGGGCCCTCGGGGTGACGAGCCGATCCTGGGGAGTGGTTCGAGACTTCTCGGGGTCGACGTGATGGAAAAAATCCGGACGTCGGGGGCCCGGGTTGGAGCATCGCGCGCACCAGTGCCGCGGCGGCGCCCTGCAGCTCCCTGCGGCAGGGGAAATGCTGCGCGGCAGTCGGCCTTCAGCCCCACCTCGACGCGGCCGGCGCCCACAGTTCGGAACCAACGTTGGGCGTTGCGTAATAGGGGGGTCATAAATGGGGGGGTGGCGAGGGTGGTCCGAAAAGGTACCCAAACGGTACCCAAACGAGCCCCCTGGGGCCTCGGAGGGGCCCGAAAAGGGGCACGAAAGGGGACCGTTTCTGACCCCCCCATTTGTGACCCCCCCATTAAGCAACGCCCAACAACGAAAGGAGGGAACTCGTGGCGCGAGGTGGATGCGGGTTCAGGCTTAAGCCGGGCCTGTCCCTCCACAGGGGGAAAATTAGAAGATAGTCCAACAAATAGTCGGGGGACGATTTTTGGCCATTTTCTCGGCATTCGGGCATATTTTTTTTTTTGATTTTTCATGTAAGAGAAACTGTCGTCCAAAATCCGCTTGTAGGGGGACAGGCCCGACCTAAGCTCAGGCCCGTCCCTCCGAGCGGGAGGCGGCCCAGGTCACCGAGGCGTGCCTTCGCCCCCGCTCGGCCAGAGCCAGGGGCACGCGGCCCCGCAGCTTCCAGCTGGCTCTCCGGGGAGCGCCCCGTCTCCCCCAGTCCCAGGAGCCGGCCCAGGTCAGCCGTCCGTTCGTCAGCCACCGGCCCCCGTCCCCCCCTTCTTCCCTGTGGTTGGCGGGGGGCGCCGTGTCGTCAGGAGTACGATGGGGGAAGAGGAGGGGGAGGAAGTGGGGGAGGAGGAGGAAGATGAACAAGGAGTAGTGAGAACGATGAGGAAGAGGAGGAGGAATAGGGGGGGGGGCGGGAGGGGAGGGAGACGAGCTCTGCCGAGCGTCTCGGCTGCGTCGCCTGGGGCCCTCGAGGCCGAGGAGCTCTGCACTTCGACTCTCCTCCCCCCCTTCCTGCCCCTCCCCTCCGGCGCTCTCCCCCTCTCTCTCCCTCGCCTCCCCTGCCTTCTCTCTTTCCTCACCCCTCCTGCCCCTTTTTCGTATTATTCCTATTGTTATTCTTCTTATCACTTGCGCTCTTCTTCTTAATGCTACTCTTACGATTCGTATTACGGTTCGTATTACGGTTCGTTTTCTTGTTTGTTTCTTCCCTTTTCGTATTACTTCTGTGACCTCAAATGTGGATAGACCCCTTGGAAGTAAAGCGCCAAAATCCGCCGTCCTTTGCTTTCTCCCGTCTGGCAAGATCCTGGACAAAACCATGCCTGATGCTTCACCGACTCCTCGCACAACTCGCCGTCCGCGCTCCCGCCCCTCCCGACGCAGAAGCAACAGTTGAATGCAGCCTGTGGACGGTCCGCGTGGACCTTCGAAAATTTACACGCCGGTCGTTAGAAGTTGGTATTTTCGGATGCCTAAGTCCCAATCTACTTGAGGCGCCTTCCGACTTCAAGAGTCGAGTGGTATTCCTCTCGCCCCCGTCCTCAGAGGGCGGGCGGAAGCCCAAGCTACTTCCAACGCCTTCCTACTTCATGTTTCTCCCCAGGTCTTCCGACCAGTATGTTTGTGCCGTTTCTTCTTCCACGACCCTCCCCTCACATCGCCCCTCCCCTCGTGTTGTTTCCCCCCTCGTGCCCTTCCCCCTGCCCCACTCCCGTCTCGCCACGCCGCGCGAGACCGACCTTGGTGCACTGCCGCGCTGCGCCCCCTCGATCACCCCCCCCGCGCGGCGACGACGACCACGACGACGACGACGACACGAGGACGACGACGACGACGACGACCACGACGACCACGACGACGACGGACGCCGACGCCGACGTCGACGCCGACGGCGACGCCGACGGATGACGCCGACGGACGACGACGGCGGCGACGACGACGACGACGGCGACGACGACGATGACGACGACGACAACGATGGACGACGACGATGATGACGACGATGACGACGACGACGACGACGACGGACGACGACGACGACGACGACGACGACGGCGACGACGACGACAAGGCCGGCGACGACGACGACGATGACGACGACTGACCACAGCGACCGCGACGACGGACGACGACGGACGACGACGACGACCACGACAACGACGACGACGACGAATACGACGGCGACGACGACGACGCCGAGGCGGCGACGAAGGCGACGACGACGACATCGACGACGACGACGACGACGACGACGACGACGACGACGACGACGACGACGGTGGGCGACGATGACGGCGACGACGGCGGACGACAACGACCACGACGACGACGGACGACGACGACGACGACGTGGACGACGACGACGACGAGGACGACGACGAGGACGACGACGAGGACCATGACCACGCCGACGCCGACGCCGACGGACGTCGATGACAACGACGACGATGATGATGACGGACGTCCGACGTCGACGCCGACGACGACGACGATGGCGATTGACGACGAGGACGACGACCAGGACGCCGACGACGACGACGACGACGACGAAGGCGACGAAGACGGCGACCTCGACGACGATGACGACGACGAACGACGACGGACGACGACGACGACGACGACGACGACGACGACGACGACGGTGACGACGACGACGACGACCACGACGACGAACGACGACGGACGACGACGACGACGACGACGACGATGTCGACGACGACGCCGACGACGACGACGACGACGACGGCGACGACGGCGGGCGACGACGACGGCGACGACGGCGGGCGACCACGGGCGACGACGACAGGCGACGGGCGACCCTGTCCTCCCCCCCCGCCACAGATTGCTGACCGTGCTCAAAGACAACTCGGGCGCCCAAGGGGGGGGCTGGGGGCAGATCCCTCCTCCGCCTCCCCCTCCTCCGCCTCCCCCTTTTCCTCCCCCTGCTCCCCCTCCACCTCCTCCGCCTCCACCTCCTCGGCCTCTCCCGCGACATGCTCCCTCATGCTTCTCTGCCTCCCCCTCCTTTTCCGCCTGCCCCTCCTCCGCCTCCCTGTCCTCCGCCTCCCCCTCCTTCTCCGCCCCCCCGTCCTCCACCTCCCTCTCCTCTCCACCCTCCTTCCTCCCCCTCCCCAACCTCCTTCAGAGGCAAGGAGGCAGAGAAGCAGAGAAGGCAAGATGGAAGCGCGAAGGGCAAAGAGAGCTCCCTTGGGGGCGGAGTGTGTAGGTCCCCCGACGACCCCTGGAGGGGGGGAAGTCAGGAGGGACTTCTCTCACACAAGCTCAAATACTCGTCTGTCCCCATGAAAAATGGAACCTATAGGAAGTGGAGGGGAAGACGAACATCCAGAAACATATGTGGGTATACATCGAATCCTTGGATTTATGTGCCTTGGATTGTGTGTCCCTGGGCCTCTTGCCGGAAGGAGGAACGACGAAACGGCGGAGACCTCCTCTTCCTCCTCCTCTTCCTCCCGCGGCGGCCGAGCGCGGTCCCGGCGCTGACTGGCCAGTTGTTGGCGCAATGCCCAGCACCCAGCACCAGCAGTGTCATCCTCTTTTTGTGGCGTGGCGCCGCCTTTGGCGGATGGGCCGTTGCGTCATCTCTTCCACCTCCGTTTCCTCCTCGTCCTCTTCGTCATCAGCATCATCATCGCCATCGTCATCGTCATCATCATCATCATCATCATCATCATCATCAGCACCATCACCATCACCATCATCATTTGATCCCTCCTCTTCATCCTCGCTCTCCTCCTCCTCCCGATCTATTGTTTTCAGCGTTTGGCCCTCTCTGGGCCTCCAAGGGCTTCTGGACGCCTCCAGGGACCTCCCGGGACCACCGACCGAGAACGCGCACCGGGCATAGCGGCATCACGGGTTATTGTAGTGGCCTCCGGCCAGTGCCGCCGATCCGGGACGCTTCCGTTGCTGCCGGAAGCGCGCGATGGCGGTCATGACCGGCGACGAAGGCGAGCGCGCAGCAGGCGTTGGCGCGGCATCACGGTTTTTTTCGCGACGCGGTCGCAACCGAAACCCCCGGGTCCCGTCCTTCCCCTTCGTCTCGGGCGGCGGAATCAGCACAGGTGCAATCAAGACGACGAACGAGATCCGGAGCAGCTTGGGTTTCGAAGGGGCTCGCTGCTCTTTCGGTCCTTCCATGGCTGCTCCTCTGGCACCCCTTGTGCACCCAGGCGCCTCTGGAGCCAAAGAAGGGTTTCGTTCCTTGCTTCGTGTTCCTTCTGGTAGCGGCAGGCCTGTACTCCGAGCAGTAGTTCTGGGGTGCCCAATGGTCGTGGGGGGTGGAGGGCGCCCTGTAGTCCGGGGGGGGGGTCCTGTAGTCCGGAAGGGGGGGGGGGCCCTTGTAGTTTTTTTGTTGGGGGGGTCCTTTTGTAGTCCGGGAAGGAGGGCCCTTCTAGTCTGGGGGGGATTCTTGTAGCGGGGGGGGGAATGGTGGCCTTGTATTCCAGGGGGAGAGGGCCCTTGTAGTCTGGGGAGGGCCTGGGGGGCGGGGCCCTTGTAGTCTGGGGGAGGGGGGGGCCCTTGTAGTCCGGGGAGGGGGGCCCTTGTAGTCGGGGAAGGGGGCCCAGAGTTATTGAAGTACTCAGAAGACACCGCCCCTGGCCGGGCCCATCCTGGGCCCAGGATCCATGGAGGAGTCCTCCCGTCACGGTCCGTAAAGCATGTGCGCATAGTTGGAGATGTCTATATATATATATATATATATATATGTGTGTGTACATGTATATGTATATGAATATAATGTTGGGCCCAGGAAGGGCACATCCTGGGCCCAGGAAGGGCACCGCGTGTGCATATATTTAGAGATGTGTATATATGTATATGTATATATATATATACATATATATATATATATAATGTAAGTCGGGCCTGTCCCTCTACAGGAGAAATATCCAAAAGCAGTCAAAACAGCCTTCGGGGACGATGTTTTGAGCATGTGTTTTTGTCATTCTGGGGCGTTTGTGGGGCATCATTATAATATGTCGCCGTACATCCCCCTGTAGGGGACATGCCCCACCCAAATCTACATGTGCAGATCTCGTCGCCTTGCCGTTGGGCTTGCAGCCGCGGTGCGGTGCGCATTCCCTTCGGAGCGTGAGGCTCGCAGCGTACGCGCGTCAAGAAAAGGTACCGATCGCCGACATCAGGCCTGTGAGCGAGCGGGCCACGCCTGGCAGCCGCAGCCGAAAACGCAGAGAGATAAAGAGAAACAAAGCCAGTGGGTCCACAATGGGCACACAGCATGCGCCTGCCAGGCGGTGGGGTGAGAAGGGACGAACACCGAAAAACGACCACATCTAAACCTGATACAGAGGGGAGAGCGCCGCAAAGAGTGGACGGAATACGTTCCCTCATTCCTCCTGTTCCTCCTCCTCCTCCTCCATTTCCTCCTCCTCCTCCTCCTTCTCCTCCTCTTCCCTTTCCTACTCCTCCTCCCTTCCCTCATCCCCATCCACCACCTCCTCCCGGCGAGCACCCGAGCAGGTTCACGAAGGGAGCGCGGGATCTCTTTCTAGCGCCAGGGCTCCCCGCGGCCACATCATCGCTCATTCTCCTGGCAGGATGCCACGGGCGCGGATGATGCGTGCATCCTCCCAGGATTATCGTGCGCTAAATTTTGCTCCAAGTCCTGTTCATAGTTCTCCTCCTGCTCCTCCTCCTCCTCCTCCTCCTCCTCCTCCTCCTTCTCCTCATCCTCCTCCTCCTCCTCCCCCTCCTGCTCCTTGTTTGTATATTTCTCTTCCTCTGCCTCACGCTACCCCGCGCTACTTCACCCGTTTCTCCTCCTACTCTTCCCCCTCCTCTTCCTCCTTCTCTTCCCCTTCGGCATCCCCCTTCTCATCACCTGACTTTTCATCAGCCTCGTCCTCCGCCCCCCCCCCCCCCCCTTGCGCCCCCCCCCCCCCTTGACAGGTTGAGGAACCTCCAACACCACAATGGCGCAACCAGTCCCAAGCGCGAGAAAGTACACGCTAGCTGCCGTAGTTCACGATGGACGATGTTAAGCGCACGGCTCTTGCGTCCAGCATTTGCCCCGTCCATCCGACGACGAGAACCGCGATGGGCGGGAGAGCCAAGAGAGTTGCAGAGAGGACACTTGCCGCGAGTTCCACCAGAGGCGGGTACAACGGGCAGGGAGGCAGAGGGGATAGGGGAGGACGACTAAGGCGATGGGGAGCACTCATGGTGCTTATGTCTTGGCTCCCACGAGAGGGAACCCACGTGTTGTGCACAAGCAAACGCCATCTTTATCAGAATAGACGCGTGCCGAAGTCACCGCCCATATTCAAATGCAACATTGTTAGTTCATATGCGCTGCAGACTTGGGAACAAGGCTTCTCATGCAAGTTGGTGCAAGTATGGGGCACCTCAGGAACCTGAAGCCCCCAGATCCTCTTCCTCGACCCCCTGCACTTCTCTCCTGTATTGTCCATCTTCCTCAACAGGGCTCATCGGAAATACTGTCGCGGCGTCACTCGGACTCCCCTTTGGTGGCTTGACGAGCCCAAGTGTATGAAGACCGTACCGGAGGAACACACAATGTACCATTCTGGGCGACGATTTCGAGTTCAGGTTTCGTCGGGAACTCTTGAGGCACTGTGTGTAGTTCCCGAAGATCCGTTTTGTAACTGATCCTGGGGGCATTCCAGGAACAGTCTTGTGGAAGTCTGAGGACCCCCAGGAAGCCGCAGGACTCTGGATGAGCCGTGGGAAGTATATACGGTTGGCGAAGAAAGGACGCGACGTGGAGTTATGATTTCAAACGTGAGCAGCGTAGGGCAGAGGGAGTAGGGGGTACTACAATCTAGCACAGCATACTCGGGGACATTCGGGTAGAACTGGCTTGGGCAAGCTAGGTTATCGTGAGGTCGTGTGCACCAGGTTTTGGTAGCGTGTCGTGGAGTGATTCGTGCATTATGTAGGCTCACGCCATTCCTCCGACCCCCCAAGCAAACAGCGCACATGACGATGTTATGGGTTGCCTGGGGTCTACGGGAACGACAAAACGGAGGTGGAGGAGGAGAATGAACGCCTTTGTGATGGGGCGGGTTGAGTGGATGAAGAGGAGGCAAGGAGGCGGGGGGGGAGTACCAGCGAAAAGGGGTGAAGGGGGTCTTGGGCAGGGAAGGCCTATGCCGCGAACGGCCAACTGTGTTGTTCCCCCTCGTGTCTCGTGCTGCCAGCGATACGCAGGCGAGCACTGACATCTGCCCGCGTGGGGGCCTTTTTCCCCGCACGAGTGGTGCGGCCCCGAGCTGGTCAATGCGAAACGATCTGGCGATCGAAAAGCCGCGTGGATCGTTCAAGGTTCCCAGACCCCCTCGAGTAATGAAAGAATCATGACGGGCGGTTTTTCCTTCATTTTCGGCCTCCGGAGGCCCTCACCGAGCCTCGGGAGCGTCAAAAAACGACTCAGGATGAAAAACCGGTCCCGGGGAATGGGTCGAGATCTCTGGGGGTCGACGTCATGAAAAAATCATGACGTCAGGGGTCTGGGTTGAACGATCCACGCGGCGTCAGAAACCAACGCCAAGGTCGGCACGACACTCTCGTTCTCCCAGATGGGGTCGGAGTGGATGGGGTCGGATGATCGCGCCGCATCGCCGATGGATCGGCTATGCGGCGCGATCCTTCGACCCCATCTACTCCGACCCCACCTATGAGGACTGTAGACACGAACCTGCAAGATTCGGGGAGGTGGCTGGCCGAAGGATCGGCGTTAGAGCCGAGCTTTTCGTGCGCAGCTGGCTCGATGGCCCGCGCTGGTGCGAAGATCTTGGCCGAATTACCCCTCCTCGCTCTGGGGTCCAGGGGGGCCCCACAGCGAGGACCTCCTCGGGCCCACCTA